GTCCGGTACGTGCACCGGGGCCTCGGGGAGACCCCGGCTTTGACGGCGCCAACTCCGCCTCGCAGTGTGGGCTGCCGCCGTCTGGGACCTGGATTTCACCGAGGTGGATCCCCTGGATGCCGGCATAGCGGAGGAGATCGCGGCGGACGGGCTGGCCGCCTTCACCGGGCTCTACCGGGCGCTGTCGGCGTTCACGGTGGAGGACCGCGAGAGCAGAGAGGTGAGGCAGGGCGCGGGCCCGCCGGGCTCCGCTCCCACCGGCGCTTACAAAGCGCTCCCGTGCTGCCCAAAGCAGTTCTTGGCATGGTACCGGGAAGTTATGGAGGGAAGCTATCCCCCCGGTAAAAAAGCTGCTTCACTTTAAATGTGATTGAAAATACATATAATACTATATCTGATAGCATAACTGGAACCACAGAAGCGTTTTGATGGGAAGACGCCTTTGAGATCATCAAGTTGAACCGTTCCCCCAGCACGGCCAGGTCCTCACCGACCCGTGTCCCTCAGCACCACATGGCCACGGATTTCCAGTCCCTGCAGGGATGGGGACTCCACCACTACCCTGGGCAGCCTAGAACAGGCTTTGACAACCTTTTTGGGGAAGAAATTGTTCCTCGTGTCCAACCTAAACCCCTCCTGAAGCTGTTTTTGCTTGTTCCTTGGGAGAAGAGATCAACCCCAACCCATCTCGAGCCTCCTTTCAGGGAGTTGTCAAGAGCGAGGTCTGCCCTGAACCTCCTTTTCTGCAGGTTGAAGAAGCCCAGGTCCCTCAGCTGTTCCTCACTAGACTTGTGCTCTAGACCCATCCCCACCTTCATTGCCCTTCTTTGTGCACGCTCCAGCCCCTCAGTGTTAATTATTAAAACATTTTGAATAGAATAGGTTAGATACAGGGGGTTGGTTGCAGTTAAAATGTGAATAGCAGCTACTTGTAGAGAGCTGTGTGTTATCATGGGATGTCTCACTATTGCTTATTTTCCCTCAGAATATCTGGGCCTTGTTTGCTGAAAACAACATCTCCCCTACCGTTCTGGTGGCCGTGTTCCACCACTTTGTCCAGGAGGGCCAGCAGAAGAGAGCTAACACACAGCAGAGGGTTTGTGCGCTGCACGCGGCGGGGCTGTACTTCCTGCTGCTGGAAATCCCAGGTGAGCAGAGCCTGTGCCTCTGTATTGCTGGGTAACACACCACTCGGGCAGAATCAGCTTCCTCTCATTTATAAGAATCCCAGATGGACCAAGTGATGGCATTTGAACTGTTTGCTTGATCTCCCTGAGGTCCTCGGGGATTGGACTCAGCCACGTGTTGAGTGCTGAGCAGCTGTTACGGTCTGAGAGCAGCTCGGGCTCCTGTCATAAAGTGGCTTGATGGTCTGGGGCCAGGTCTGCACTGACATGTGTCCTCTTAGAAACTGCATGACAAGGTCAACAGAGGAGTCTGAGCAGTACAGAGAGCTGGAACCACTGAGCATGTCCCTCTGGTTTGACACTAATAAGCACTGGGGGCAGAAGCTTATTCCCATTCCTTCCCTCTAACTAGAGAGCATATCACTGTGTGGTGCTTTTGGACAGGTTCATTTATAAACACAAAAGTATTTGTTTCAAATAACCAGCAGTTGGAGTTTTCCAGCAGGTTAATTCCCAGTAGTATCCATTTGTATTCAAGGCTAACCTCTATTCTGAAGTGTTACTAGCTAGAGGGGATCAAACTGCTGGTGATCCTACCAGGGAATGTTGTCGCTAATGACGTCATCCTGGTGCAGTTTGGTGTTGTTCAGACACTTCTTTTTTCCTCTCCTAAACTTTCTTGGGCTCCCAGGACAATGCCTTTGTCCTGGTCATCTCCTTGGCTGTCAAAGCAAATGGGGAGATGGCCAGATGATTGATGCTTCCCCTGTATTTTGTCTAGAAGATGGTTGATGTTGTATTTTCTGGGCAGGCAGCGTAGCTAACCAGCTGTTCCATCAAGTGATGTTTGATAAGTGTCTTCACACCCTGACGAAAAGCTGGCCTCAGAAACCAGATCTGATGAGGAAAAGGAAGAAGATGCATGCTCAAAGCTCTCAGACCAACGCACGAAGAAATAGAAAGAAAGGAAAACCATGCAGGAGTGGCAACGTAAGACATCTGTGTAATCTCTTCACTTGTAAATCTCTGTTAGTAAGCAAATTGTTGCCGAGCTATTTCCATTCTAGGTCAGTGTGATACTCTTTTTCACCATGTTTTTGATTCTTAACCTTTTATTCAGCACTTCAGCCACGCTCTTGATCCTCTACCTATTATTAGGAATTTCAGCGGTCTGATGATTCAACATTAGCTGCAGTTTCCTGGCTGCTGACTAATAGAAAAAATACAGCTTGTTTGTCTGTGGCATATTGTTAGAAAGCTCAGTAGCAGATGGAGAAACTAATTTGTACCAGTTTCTTCAAGAGACCTTCAACTCAGTATGTGACCAGCTTGCAAATGGCATTTCCATTTCCTCGTCAGCTTGAGGATGGGAAGTTTAGGGCTAAATGCTTTGGCTGGCTGTGCTCAGCTGCTCTTCTGACATCGGTATGGCACAACAGGAATAACTTGAGCTAGATCTCCAAGTGTCAGATCAGAATTCAGATAATTGTCGTCTGTTCTGATGGACTTTCTCCTTCCCAGCAAGAACAGGCTGTGTTGGAGCGTTCTTTTTTGGGGTCCAAGTTTCATCTTTCTGTCTGCTTTTCAGTTGTTTTGCTTTTGTGTTCCCCCCTCCCACCACTGTTTAAATGTGTTAACTAATCTGAAATAAAAGATTGAGAATTTTGGATGTGAAATTCATGTGGGACCTAGCCTGAAAATTCTGTGAAGCACAAGTGACCATAAGAGATCAGCCAGTGCTGTGGGACAGGATGGTGCTGTTTCTTTTCTACCAATACAGGTGGAAGAGACGTTGCAGGAGGAGGAGGAGGAGGAAGAGGATTGTGAAAATCTTTACTTTTCAACGGATGATCTTCTTCAAGTCCGTGACTCAATCTTCCTTCTTTTGAAAAACTTCTTAAGACTTCTGCCTAAGTTCTCCCTGAAAGAGAAACCTCAGTGTGTGCAGAACTGCCTGAAGGTAATAAAGTGCAACTCGAGGAACCTTCTGTCCCCTAGCGTAACCTTTTGGTGGATGCACAGTACTCCATAGTCATGAGAGTGGTGGCAGCTTTGCCTTTCACAAACTGGTGCCCAGGTTAGGCCATCCTCAGTGTAAATCTTGGGGCACAGGGTGCCTGCTCTGCGTCTGCCTCTTTTATTTAGAACTTGCTAGCTAGTGCCAGGTGGGCACTTCATGTTTTGGTCTGAGGTGCTTCACCCTTGCCATGCCTGAGGGGAAGAAGCGTGGTCTAGAGCCCCTGGGCTTTGGGGTCTGCTTATATTCTGCTTTGGGGGAAGTGCTGTGGTTTGAAGGTTAGACTCAAGTTCTCTGTGGTCTGACCCTCAAGTGCCCAGGCAGAGCTGCACATCTCACCCTCAGATGGCCTAGCTAAGCTTGGTCTTCTTTCCTTGCAGATCTTTGTTGAAATGACAGACTTGGAGCCAGCGCTGCACGAGTTGGAGTTTTCAGCAGCAATGTGAGCAAATAATTTGTGATGTTTTTATGGCTCTTTGAACAAGTAAAGCACTCGATGCTTGTGTTGTTGTTGTTGTCCTGTTGACACAAAAATGAAAGTGGTGATTTCTTTTGTTAAAGGTAATTAGAACATTCCACTTAGCTAACAGCAAACAACGTGTAGTGAATATTGAATCATATCCAGTCAGCGAGCATGTTTAGTTGTAACAGTTGTAGAAAGTGCTTCTCTGATGAGAGATGAAGACATCTCTTTGCCTTCTTTTGCTTAGGAATGTTGAGGAAGCCAAGTGCATTCCCGAGCTGGCCTATCACGGAATGCAGTTACTGTGTTCCCCTCTACATGGTACAGAAGATAAGGTAAAAGTTTGAAAAAGTCTTTTAAATCCTCACTGCAGTATTGAAAAGAAGCAGTTGTTTCTTTCCTTCCTGGCACATCAGTTTTGCTTGCGTGTTTTTTACATTTCACCTTAGTTTTACTTTGTGTGCCTGTGTGTGTGTTTGCCTGGCCAGAAGTCGGATGCTTCTTTTCCACCCCAGTCCTTATTTCCTTTGACTTGTACGAGGATGTGTTTTCTGCACATTGAATTCTGTGCTCTAGTTACTCTCGTGGCGAATAAAAACAGGATGGCTGCAGTGGTGTCACATCTCTGTAGCTTAAAAGGGAGAATTCTGTGTTGCTGAGTTTGCCTGGAATTTTCCTGTGTCCTGCTAGGTGGAGCTCCAGCACCACTTGGTAGCGTGCTGTGGCCGGGAGCTGTGCAGCAGTGGAGCATGATGGGGGAGTGTTTTGTGCAGAGGGTGGTATGTAGGGCTGATTCTCCAGCAGAGAATAGTCTGTTGTCATGGAACATCCAGTTCTACCAGAAATGTCTGCAGCTTTACCTTTTTCGTTCTGTTAAATTGTCAGGCACACCATGTCATCTCCCACTTATCCTTGTGCTCCTCCTGCAGATGGGGCTTTTGAACTTGGAGTGTGACTGTGCTGCTGTGTTTGTGAGTCTCTGTAAACCCACCTGAACTGGTTCTGAGCCAGCAAGGCAGGGTACTGGTGGCTGTCTAGTCAGGAGAGCCTGGAGCTTAGTGTGTGCACACCAGCCTGACATACACCTGCGTGTCTGCCCAGCTTTAGCAGCTTTAGACATGTGTTTTTCAGCCTCCCTGGTTTCTCACAGCACAAGCTTTTCAGAACTGTTGACATTTGGGGTATCAGGAAGATGTAGCAGCTTCCCTTCTCACACCTGCCTCTCCTGTGTGACTGCTCAGCCACTGCCTGGACAGTGAGGTGTGCTGTTGTCCCAGAGCATGGCAGGGAGGAAATTCAAATGCACATGGCAGTAGAAACATGCGTTTAGTTTAAGGTGTCTTGTGTGCAAAACCCGGTGAATTTCCTCCAATTCCAAATGCTTCTGCTGATTTGAAGTCCACTGTTATTGCGATCAAAGTTTCATTCATAATTATGTTATAAAACTGGAAAGAAGCTTATCTGTGGACTCCAGTTGCTCTGAAATGAACCTGAAAATAACCCTTTCTTTCCAGATTCTTCGCTGTGTCTTCCAGCGACTCCTCAATGTCATTCTCATGCTGGAAAGGGACGTGGGCTCCAGATGCACAGTCCTTGCAATCACATCGGCTGCCATCAGTGCCAGGAACCAGGCTATAAAATTCATCAGGTGAAGTACAGAGCTCTGGTGCTACCCTTCTGGGGTATGTTGCTCTTTCTTCTGGCAAGCCTTCGCCTTAGTGTTTAGCTGATAAAGGGATGAGACAAACTAGCACTGACTTTGAAGTTGTTTGTGCAAATGAGGTTTAATTAACATGTCTGTGATGGGAATTTTGAAAGCTGTTGGAAGAAATGTTTTCTGCCTTCAAAGCCAGGTTGCTGCAGGGAGTAGGGAGGTCTGCTCCCTGGCTGTGTGCTGTAGCACTAGCGCTCATGATTCCACAACGCACGCTTCTCCTGGCTTTTGAAATGCCTTCCAAAAGGAACATCCTCAGCTTGCTGTTTGCTCTGTTATAAAACCAGCTGTATTAAAACCTGCTTGTTTTGATTCTGTGCAGTTCTCTAGTAGATGAGCTGAAAGAAGTTGTTTTTCCTGTTCTTCGAATATTACTGCAACATATCTGTACCCAGGTATGCTATGCTAAGCTTTGTGGCATCTTGAGCTGAAGAATTCATGTGGATACATGGCCCTATCTGTAACAGTTAGGAAATCCATTTTCACAATGTTCTGTAAGGAGAAAAAAGGTTTTCATAGTTTGTAAATTTCTTGACAGCCTGACTATGTTTTGATCTTTACCAGAGTTTTCAGATGTCTTAAAAATAGTCTTACACTCTAGAATGCTGAGGGTGAACAGTTACCCCTTCATTCAGGGTTGATTGTACCCTACTGGTGACCTTTCCACAATTTGCAGTTGCTTTTGCAACTATTTTGGTAGAGGAAGATGGGCATTATGAGAGCTCTTTGCCTAGTGAACTATCTGGAGATACCATGTAGAAATACTGCCTCTGGATTTAATCCAAGCTCCACCTTTGCCTGGGGGAATTTTCTGTGTGACTGGGGGGCGAGTGCTGAGGTAGTAACCAAGGGAGCTGTGATTGTTCTCCCAGTCTTTGCTGAATGTGACCATATCACCTCATTAAATTTAAAAAAATGTCTCTTATGCCCTGAAATGCCATTCTGGCTGCCAGAGCAGGGCATCAAAATACCTTGGCGTGCGATTGCCCTTGTTTTTCAGGTCCCAGATAAGGCTGAGTATCGCACGTATGCTGCACAGGCCTTGGTGACTTTGCTGAATAAACTCCCTTGCACAGAGTTTGCTGACTTCATCACTTGGCTGTATAAATACTCACGGAACACTAAAGTAAGTACATCTCCTCCTTGATGTGCCAAGGTTCAGATAGAGCAGGATGTTGAAGATGAAGGGTTCAATATCAGTACTGAATACTGCTGCTGTTATTGCTGGTACTTAAAAAGGGGTAAATGGAGCAGGCAGTGCCTGTGCTTTTGCTTGTGTTGCCCAAAGTGCCCTATGTGCTTTTTCTTTCTAACAGATTGCCTACAGAGTGTTTGCTCTTGATGTAGTGTTGGGGTTGCTGGATGTGCCCGAGAGGAACTTTGACAGCTCCTTGTCCCTGGATCATCAGAAGTACCTAAAGCACAAGTTTTTAGTGCAGGTCATGGTGTTTGGCCGCTGCTCGGACAAAGCCCCTGTGGTCCGCAGCAAAGCTTTGAGCAGCTTTGCCCACTGTCTTGAAATGAAAGCTGCTGCTACCTTGGAAAGTATACAGGAGTTATTACAAAGCTGTAAGTATTATGGGTAAATAAGATGGTGAAAATATTTCTTGAACATTCTGGAGAATAATTACTGGGAGATGGGAGAACTAGTTGTCAGGAATGTAAGAATCTGCACCTTGTGTCCTTGTGTGCTGTGTCATAATGAGAAGTAATAGATGAGTCTTGTTACTCGTGAAGCTTTATATTTGGAAGGGATTTATTCTTGTGTATGGGTTCAGACTCCTCCATGAGATACCTTGTGAGGCTATTTACAGATGACTGAAATTGCTCATTGGAAAAAAAAAAAAAAAAAGTTGATTCTTGCCTGAGAGTTGATTAAATCTTGAGTTGCCTTTTGCTTCTGCTAAGTTGTTTTGTTCGTGACTGGCATTCCAAGCTCCCTCAGGTGTGGTGAAGGCCAGATGGCACTGTTCAGAAGTGTGCACATAGCATCCTACGGTTAGCTTGCTTGCCTGAAAAAAAAAAATTGGAATGACAAAATATCCAGAATTAGAATACTTCATTTAATTTCTTTTTTTGTTTCTTTTTGGCAGCCTCTGACCATACAGTCTTGGAAGCAAACACAAACGCTGCGAGTCTGATAGTCAGTGCAGAAGGTACAGAGTTATTCTCTTATAGTAAGTCTCAGGCTTTTCTTAGCATGCCATTTTCTAAAAATAAGCATGTCTGTAGAACCTAGGGCTTGCATGGGACTCTCTGTTTAAAAGTGAACCATATGAACATATGTCTTTTTTATTCTCAAACGTGCAACCTTTCTTTCAGCTATGTCCAACCATCCACTGAAGACCTTACCGACCTTCAAAACTATTGAGCTGACCAACAGCAGCGATAGTGCTGTGCTTGATGGTATGTCAAAATTGTACCAGTCTCTTCAAATGACTTTTCAAAACCTTAATTGAAATCAGACTTTTTGAACTGTGTTCATTATCCATTTTTCAAAGAAAGTGAGGAGAGTTTTCTGTAGAGCTGTTAAAAAACCTTGCTTTTGGCTCGTGAAGGGAGTGTAAGTGCCAGCCATAAAGAAATACCATTTCCATTCAAGTCTGAAAAATACATTTAATCTTCAAATACTGATGTTCATTTGTACGAATGTGGTGGCAACACTTGTTGAAAAGCAAGTGATCTGTCCTTTCCAAAAAACTGGCACGGGTTATAATAGTAGTAACTCTATAAATTTAAGTGTAATTAATTTTCTTGCTCTAGTGCACAAAGAGCTGATGTATTTTTGCTATGTAAAACACAGCACTTTTGACCAGCACTGTTATGCAGGGGAAAATTCACTTCTCTGCAGCATCAGGTATTGGCTGGAGTTAAAAAGCAAAGTGTGAGGTTAAATGGACTAATGTGGAACAGCAAGCAGCCAGTTCTAATTTGTTGATAGCATGAAATCAGCATGTACATTGGCTTCTGTGGCCACGATGTTCCTTCTTAGAGCCTCTTCCTTTCTTTTCCTCCTCTGTGTAAAAGCTTTTCTTCGTAACCTTTAGGGCTCTGCCAGTATCTTTGCTTTTGGTTCTTGCTGTTCACCTCTCTTGAACCGCTGACAATTCAATTGGCTGCTCGGTGCACGTCCTGCGTTTGTCTTTGTTACACGTCCCACGCTGCTCTTCACGTGGGATCTCTCTCCCTATCTCCATGAGCCAGGCTCCAATCTTCTCCATTGAAAGCTTTCTTTTAAAACATTCAGCTGATAAATTCCCTTAATCTGCTCTCTCAGATAGAAAAGTCCTCCGGGCCACTCGAGGTATTGTGTATTCCCTGCTTAGTTGCAGACTGCTTGTGGCAGAGGACGCCTGGTTTTGTATCTGATACCCAGCTGAGCGTACACTTGGCACTGGGCAAAACAAATTAAGAAAAGGATTGGATTTCAAAGGACTGTCTGGAACTCGGGAGGATAGCTGGGATAGGAGGGCTTCCCAAGTCAGTCGAGGTGCATTAGCAAAGCTGTCTGGCACACGCTCGTGTTTGACTGAAGCCTGTGATCATTTTGCACTTCTATGAAGACCAAACAGCTCATATTTTAGAAGCAAAATAAGTCTTAGCTAAGGGTAGTGAGGACGCTCAAGGGCAGCATTAAGAAGGGGTGGGGAGTGATCTGCAAGGTGAGGTATGCACTGAAGAATTGCCACTGCCCAACAGTGTATGGGCCCTGGGTAGTTCTCAGCCATTTAGAACTCAGACGTTTTGGTTGGTGGTTTATCTTTTTATCTGTATCTCACTGTGAGTAAAATCAATGTCAATTCACAAACTGTTATTATTTTAGAAGATATGGTCAAGAGCTGGACTGTGGTAATGCAAAATCTTGTAACAAAGGGGTTCTGTACTTTTTCTGTCAAGCTGTAGTCGGGAGGAAGGTGTGGTTGCAGTTAGCTGCCTGTTAAGTGCAGATCAAAGTCTCTTTGATTTCCTTGGTAAAAATTTGCTTTCAAACTGCTTTTGCTTAGTTCCTGGTGACTAATCCCATTTCTTAATGGCAGCAGAGTGGATCTCCACATCTATCTCTATAAGTAACAGATCTTCAAAACCAGCATGTAGTTGGGAAATCTGACTTGATGCTGTAAGAAATCCAACAAACAGCAATAAATAGAAACCTTAAAAGCAATGTAAAATGCTTGAAGTCAGTATTGCCAGCTTGTTAGTAGTCCCTCTGAATGATTCAAGAGGTGAGAAACAACTGATTGTGGCCCTCTTCTGTGTCACATAATAAACTACCATCTCGATTATGGATTTTTCCCAATAATGTGCAGAAATGAGAATAAAATTTGAGACCTAACTTGACATTGAGGAAAGGGAGGTGTTCTGGTTTCCGTGTAGACTCTTGGGTTCTTCTTTGCAGCTGCCATTCTGCAGCCTCAAGGAATTTAGTCAGTTCAGAAGTGGAGTAATTTCCCCTCTGCAAAACACAGCAGTTCATATGTTAATACTTTCTGCTGTGTGGAGCTCTGAGGCATAACTCATAAAAGGTTGTAGGCGTTCTAAGCTCTCAACGTACAAGTATGTTATCCTGTCTTGGGTCTGCTTTGGAACCATTTGTCTGTGGTCTGCCCTCATGCTTTTCCCACAGATGGCAGAGTTACCCGTGCTACAGACTTTAGTTAGAACTGTGCAGCATCCTTCTGATGGGCTTTCAAACTGTGGAGGTAGCCTAACACACACATAAATAGGTCAGAAATGGCAGAGTTTATTTTTCTCCTTCTTGCTGCATGTATCCATTCGGTGTGTCTCTTCTGTGATGTGTCCTAAGGTATATTTTCACATGAAAGAACTTGGAAAAACATGGCATTTTTTTTTTTCCCCTCGTCTGGTTTCTACCTCATTCTGAATTATTTTGGGTGAGTTTTTGCTGGGCTTTACGCAGTCCTCCTCTCTTACCCTCTGAAAGCCTCAGACAAGTTGTTGCTCAGCTGATTTCAGATGTGTATCCCTCCTTGCTGGTGCAGCATTAGCCCGATGGTGTGGGTAACTGCTTGCTGTCACTGTTTTGGGTAGGAAAAGAAGTCATGGCCGTGCTGAGGCTGAGAACTGGGGATGAGAAAACCAATGTGAGGAAAGCTGCTCTCCAGGTATGGTGGTTTTTGCACGTTTCACCCTTCCCAGCGATTACCCAGAATGCCCTTAAGTAATTAGGCCATATTACCTAGCAAACAGTATAGAACTTTGCCCACTTGTAGCTTCCTGCTATTCCTGCAGAGTGCTTACAGGGTAAATAATGAAAGCATGATGATGGAAAATTTTTCTAGTACCCTTGCTGGCATTCTCTTATTCCATCATTTAGAAAGAGAGGCTCTTTTCAAATGTCAATTGGCATTTCAATTAAGCGACTTCCTTATAAACTGAAGCATATTAGATGCTTAGTTTGTTTTGACCTTGTTAACAAAGAGATTAGGTTATATCCAGCCTCTGAGGTATGCGTTGCTTTGCTTGTTGCTCCATTCTTCTAATGAAGCTTTTAAAGAAATAGACTTCCATGAAAATTTCATTGTTTAAAAAAAAAATTGATGTCTGCTGTTGACTGCCTTCCTCTGTTAGTCCTCTTCACCCCAAATCCACCTTCTCAGTTCACACAGTGATTTGAGCTTCCCTGTTAAAGCTTTGTAACTATTTTTTTTAATGCAAGAGACACCTTATTTTTAAGGGGAAATCGTGACCTTCACACTATCCAAAAGCTGCTATAAAATGGGAATGACTGAGAAGATGTTTCCTGTTTCATTCTACATCTGGTTGTGCCCAGTACTCGTAAATTGTGAATAGGATGTTTCACTCCTGGCGAGATAAATTAATCTCTAGTTAACGTGGGCAGGGGGTAGATTGTATTTTTGATTTGCTACCCTGTGCACGTGGCCTGTGTTCCCAAGGGAGCTGTGCTGGTGTTTGACTTCCAGGTTTTTATGAACATCCTGAAGCACAAGATGATCCCGTGCACGGCAGAGGACCTGTCCACCCTGCAGGAGCGCTGCCGGGACCCGGCGGTGTCTGTGCGGAAGCAGGCCCTGCAGGCCATCACAGAGCTCCTTCTGGTGAGGGAAACACCTCCAGCTCCTTCTGCAGACTCTGGAGAGCAGGCTGCGGGCTAAAAGGAGGAGGAAATGGACAGATCTGGTGCATGTCAGTTGTTCATTCAGTGAATTTCATTTTATGACTGTGTTTAAATTTCTTTTTATTACCTTTTGACTTGGAAGTCATGACTCATTCTTAAACATACTTGTGATTTATGTAGAATGCGTCCAACTGCTGGAAACATTTATTTTCCTAGCTGTTGATTTATGTGTCATGGAGAAGATGTTTATGTTGCTGGCCTTCTCAAGTTAAGAAAAATCTGAATCACTTTACTAAGACGTAACGTGTAGATGATAGCACTGCAATATTTTTCTTTCTTTTCTATTTATTCACAGAGGGTTAGTAACTTAAGCTTGGAACACAGAGTTTATATTAAGCCAAGCTCTTTTTTTAGTTAAATCATCTGCTGTACAGCTTTATTGTGGTACCGTTATAATTATCTATAGGATTTCAAACCAAAATATTACAGTGATTTAGCAGAAGCACCAGGTTGCTTGGTCATAGATACAGTTAAACACTGTGTGGTGTCAAGGAGATACAAGTCCCTCTGTCCCATATGGTGCTACTTTCAGTCTTAGTTAAGCAGTATGCTGGGGTTTATTAAAATTTGCTTTCAAAACTCCTAACTGAATCTGGAGGTTTCTAAGCCTTTGCTAATTTCACCCATGCATATAATGATTAAATGTGTTTCTGATACGACGTGTGTTTCTCTCAGTCTCAACACGATAGTGTTCCAGTGCAGAAGGCCTGGTTAAACGGAGTGGTGCCTGTTGTGATGGACACTGAAACTTCTGTCCAAGAAAAGGCCTTGGATTGCCTTGATCAGCTCTTGTTGCAACATATAAAGCACTATAATAAATTCAGGAGTGAAGATGGAAAGGAGGCTCTGGCATGGGATTTGCTTACCCACTTGACTTCAGAAAGCCAGGAGCTGAAGTAAGTGCATTTTTCCCTTCAATGTGGGCTCTAATGGCTTTTCTGTAATAGCCCTTTGTCCGACGCATGGCGTGTTTTTATTGCCTTTATGATAGTAGCTTTCAGGGAAAAATCCCTGCCATTTTTTTTCCTTTTAATCCCGTTAGAATACGAAGCTTTTTATTTACAGAAGGAAATTGCCTATTGACTGGAGGACTAAGATAAGAGTATGAGTTCATACTCTCAGCACTCTCGTTCCCTGGGCAGCCACAGACCATTAAATATCACAGTTTACATACTGTTTAAATGCACGTGCTGTCCATTGTGTGAGGACAAGGAACTCAATGTATTGAGGGTTTTTTTCTGTTGGGCCAGAGGAGCTGTCGAGCGTGGACAAGCTGGGAGCTGGTGAGGAGAGTGCAGTTTTCCTTGCTATCAAGTGTTGTCACTGCTCCTGTTGCCTCTGCTCTCTCCCTGAGCTTGGGTATTCACATACAGGAATGTTGCATGCTGTTCTTGAGGTGTTGATAGCAACATGAATATTTAAGTCAAATGGAGGTGTTCTAATGACAGAAGTAAGAGAGGATATATAAAGATGGGAGAACATCAGCTTTTATTAATTCTGATGTACAATATGTTACTTGTCTTATGACAAATAGAGTTATTCTGCCTTTTGTGGAATGCTGTGGGAAGAAGCAGAAGAGATGGGATGACACACAGTATGACAAGGACACAACACTGATTAAAGACAGCTGTATGTTTATTAGTCAACAGGGCGTAAGTGCTCTGAAATAGAAAATGAGATATGGTTGTGTTCCCTTGCCAATCTGTGAAACTGTTGATATTCTAATTTGAGCTATTTTATAACATAGTTTGCAGATTCATGGCACCACCTTCTTCATGACCTTGGAGTACCTTGATAAGTCTCAGAACTCTTTGAACGTGAAGGAGGTAACTAGGGTTAAATAGAACAATGACCAAGTTCTGGTGCCTTAACATTACTCTGTCTTCTCCCTTTATGGGTGTTACATAACAGCTACTAGAAAGCCTTTGTTACAGATGGCTGCAGTTATATTTCCTTGGTGTGCCACGCTAGCAGTTGGACCTTTTGTCTTACTGACAGAGGGCACTGCATCCATGTTTTTATGCCAGGAGGTCTGTAGTGCATTTGGATTATGAGCAGCGACTGAAAATACTGCTAGTAAAATACAGTGGAAATCCCTACGTATTCCAAGTAGTGGGAATAGGAAGAAGTAGCAGCTTTGTGTTGCCCAGTGTATCCTGGGCAGGGAAATCAGTTTTTACTGCCAGTGTCCAAGAACAAGTGTTTTGTTTACTCCTCCTTGAACTTACTTTTATTTTCTTCCTTGTAGCCGTTACTTGAACAAAGCGTTTCATACGTGGTCCAGACAGAATAAGTTCACCTCCACTTTCATTAATAACGTCATGTCTCACGTGGGAACAGAGCATACTGCACCAGCTTGGATGTTGCTTGCTAAGGTGGCAGGTTCTTCACCCAGGCTGGATTACTCCAAGGTCATTGAATCCTGGGACAAAGTCAGCAGGTACGTGCGTGCTTTGAACTCCATCCGGCAGGAAAGACATGGGGGGGAAGAGAGGGAACAAAGCAAATGAGCACTTCCTGTCCTTGCACAGGCAGACTGCTGTTCAGCTGCTTAGATGGCAGTTCTTTATTCAGGCAGTGGGTTCTGCAGCTAGGAGGCAAGCAACAGCTCACAGATTGGTGCAGTAACCAGCTCTGGCCTTAAGCTTTTTGAGTTTTCATTTGGTCGGACAGGTCTGCGTTAATAATGCATACCCCAGATGAAAAGATTTTTCTACTGTGATTTGGTGTTGTTCCTTAACGTTAGTTTGTCTGCCCTATTATTTTTCAGGCAGCAGAACATGAACTCTGATAGTACAGGACATATACTGTGTGTCATTGGTCATATTGCAAAGCACCTTCCTAAAAGCACCTCCAAGAGGCTGATTGGTGAGTGGCCCTGAGAAGCTGCAGAGGCAAATGCAGCCTTCATGCCTCCCATCTTCACAGTTATTTCTTCTCCATAAGCAGCTGATAAGCTCAGAAAATGCTCCTTTTATGTGCGTGGTCTCGTTTTCAGATACCATCAAGCACTGGCTGAGGGAGTCTCAGTGTCCCTTGGAGGTGCTGAGCCCAGCTGTGGAAGCTCTGCAGAAGCTCTGCCGTGCGTACGCAGATGTGCCGGAGGAGGCACAGGTGGGACTTAAAAACATCTTTTAAAATAGCTTGTTTCACACTCAGGAGGACTGTCTCTTGAAGGCAGCTTCTCTCTGCAGTCTATAAGTTGATTAGCTCTGAACAAAGAGGATCTGACCCTAGCAGCTTGAGTGTGCTCTGCTCATCTCTTGTGTTACAACAGTTGTGTTGGCCACCATCCTGTAGCTAAGGATGGCCTTGTAAGAAGTAATATTTTTTTTCAAAAGGACTTTTTTCCCTCACCTAAAATATTTTGTATTTGCCTTCTGTCAAAGTTTACAGAATTCCTAAAGGAGGCCTGTTGCTGTGCCTTTGTGATACCAGCTGTTTCTTAGACTTGGTTTAGTTTGAAGTTATAGGTTTATACTCTAAGCTCTGAATATTCTGTCAGAGCTGCTGTAAATACACATATTTTTTAGAGATCTTTTGTGGGAGCACACAGGGGGTTAATAACACATCATTTGCACATTTTTCTTTTCTGCCCTCATTTGCTTTATGCTGTAGCTTTGTTCTGCTCCTGCAGTGAAAAGATGGGCTAGGCTATCTTCTGCTGGACAATGCTTTATTTTCATCACAATCTGATAGACTCTATCTTTTTTTGTTTCCCCTCCACCCCTTGGAATTTGCATTTTGTTTTCATTTGAGTGGAACTCCACCTTCAAAACGTTTAAAAATCCATGCAGACAGCCTCCAATGTGTTGGATGTACATGAAGCAGTCACCTAAGTCTTTTTTGTTTAAATCTGTGTGATTTCTATAATGAAGTAAACCTGTGGATCATTAAAAGCCAGATTCTCCAAGGTGTTTTGACACTTGCACACATCCTTTGATGTGCAAGAAGAATTTTAAAGTTTTAAAGCACTGTCTGATTGATTTCAATAGGACCTAGATTATTAAAAGCATAGAAAGACTTTGAGATTAGGGATTCATGCATGGACAGTTTTCAAAGCTACATTTTGTTTAATTAATAAAGTGTTGAACTAATTTTAATTATGAAACAGGAGCTGCTCAACCAGGTGTGTGGAGATTTAGTATCCACCTGTGAAAGCTATATTTCCAATATAGTCCTCAAAGAGGATGGAGCAGAGCAGCTGCAAGAAGATCTCTTGGTAAGTGTGGTTTCCCTGCACAGACTGGTCAAATGGTGTCTGTGTACTGAAACTGATGTTCCTTGGAGTTCATGCCAATAACTGTGTTATATAGAAAAACACTGATGCACCCAGTTCACGTGTAGGCTCCTAATGGAATCTGGCATTTATGGGCCTGGGAGCATACTACAGTTTCATACATCAGCAATTGGTTTAAGGCTATGATAGCCTATGTATTTTTAAAATTACATGTTTTTTCTTTGCTTTTCCACTCATACTTCTTAGATGAGCTCTTTGGGAAATTAGTCTGTAGAATGCTTTGAGGAGTATTTCAGTATTATTAGTAGAGGGGGGATTATAGCGTGTTAAACACACAGACCATTTCTCTTCCACAGCTGTAGCTTCTGTTCTCTAGCCACTATCTTCTTGAAAGGGTTGAGGGAATTTTAAGTTGTTTTTGGAGAAGTACCAAACGGACTCCTGCTGACTTAATTTGCAGCTCAGCCATTGCCTCTTGAGTGCCATGTTGCCTTTCCTCTGTAGGTGAGACACCTCTTCATCCTGGGTGAGGCTGCTCAGCTGTGTCCAGCCAAAGTGGAGAAACGTGTCTTTCTTTTGATTCAGTCCATTCTGGCTTCATCTGTCAATGAGGACCAATGTGAGGCTCTCTCCTTTCTGCTTTTAGTGTTGCATTTACAGGCAGCACTGTTAACTGGGAAAGCACATTTTAACAATGCCTGACCTGTTCTGTCCTAGCATCTAGTTCTGCAGCTGGTGAGGAAATGCCAGCTTCTCAGCCCCTGTCCCAGTTCAGAGGATCAGCTATGCCTTCAGTGGTCAGAGCTCATGCATTCATTACTCTAGGTAAGTGTCAACCTGCAGTCAAAGTGTGCCCTCAAGTAGCCAGTTCTCAGCTCTTGTGCTTAAAGCTCTGCTCAAACACCATGCCAGTTGTAACAGCCAGCCACAGTGCTCAGTGCTTGCATGGCCTCAGCTCATAGCTTTTAGCAAAACAAATATCCATGGTAACAAGTTGCATCAAAAAAGCTGCCATCTATGTGATTGCTTCTCAAGGTGGATAATGCACTAATAGTGATCAATATGTAGCCATGTGCTTCAGAACTGTCCTTGTACTTGGAGCTAGTTGCTCTCTGGCTGAAAGACCAGCTTACATCTCGTTCAACAGAAGGTGAAGAAAACTTGGTGCTTTTGGTGCACTTTAGAGCAGAATGACTGCACATAGTTACATGTTCTCAGCATGAGTGAAGAGCTGCTTTTTGTGATAAAAACCTGGTCAAATCTACATCTCTGGAGTACTGAGTGAAAGGTCTGGTTTTGTAGTACCTCTGTAGTTAGGAACAAGTCTCTTCTCTTGCAGATAGACAGTGTTATTCTTTCCTTTACTGCTTTGGGAAGCTTAGTACTTTTGTACAGAGCTTAGGAACAGTCAGGGAGAAGTAACGTTGGAATGAGGGCTGTTTTATATGAAGCTGGTTTAGTGATGCTCTCAGAGGTGGGTGTCTCCCTCCTATGCCTATGACAGCTGGGGCTGTTCTTTTTTAGCTGCTTTGAATAATACCCTGCGCACAGAAATAGTTCTCTGTGAAGGAGGGAATTTGACATAGAGACCCACACTATAGGTCTAAGAGGAGTTTGGAAGAGCTCCTCAAAGTATCATTTCTTTGAGAGATCATGCAGATTGCTCATCACATTGGAGCCTTCCTCGCTTATTCCCCTGTTGACTTCCCGCTTCCGTTGTTGGCTCGCGCTCCGCTCCGAGGAGGCAGTGAGCTGGGCTGTGGTGGCTGGGAAGGACAATCTGTTCACAGCACTGACGGCCTCCTCTGGGTTTCACAGGTAAATTGTGTTTGCAGCACGAGGACCTGGCCAAGAAATGCATCGCGGCTCTGGCCCGAGAGCTGGAGGTGTCGCGGGACGTGGCCGTCCGCAACAACGTCGTCATCGTCCTGTGCGACCTGTGCGTCCGCTACACCGCCATGGTGGACAGATACGTGCCCAACGTCTCGCTCTCCCTGAAGGACCCAGACCCCCTCATCCGGAGGCAGACGCTGATCCTGCTCACCAACCTGCTGCAGGTGAAGAGAGGTCCTAGGCCTGTGCCCGACAGCCCCCTCCGGGTACCCCTGTTGTGCCGTGTGCTGGCAGCCTGACCCGTGGGGGTTTGCTTGTACCTTCATCTACACTTCACTGAGAAGACTTTAAACTTTGTATTTTATTATTGCTTTTGTTTTGCTAGCTAGGCAGAACTTGTGTTGAGAACACTTAACACAGTTGGATAATGAGGTTATTTTTAGTCTTCTCTGTTTCTTTGAATTCCTTCCAATTTCACTCGTGTATAAAAGGATGTGACAAGGATCACAGCACCTTTTGCTCCCACTGTCTCTGCTTATTGTTCTAAAGATGAACACGTGGAGAGGCTCAAGAGGTTTCCCCTCCCTAGGTGCATACGAGGCCAGCCGAGGCAGATTTGGACTGCATTTGGCCCTGACAACAGTGGGGAAGAGCACGTGTTCCTTGGGACAGGAGAAGAGATTTTTCACATTTCTACTTCTTTATTGATACCTGTGATAAACCTAGATGCTTTCTGCTGTGGCATTTATGCTGTTTGAAGCATCCTCAAAAACATTGTCTTCTTGAGGTTTAATTTGTGTGCCTCCAGCTGAAGCTGTACACCTTGCTCATTTACCTGATGTACATTCTGCTGGCCCCCATCAGATACTGTACTGACTACAGGCTAAAGGTTCACACTAGATTTTTTCCTGATTCAGGTTGAGAATTTGTTGTCTGCCAATTTCTTACAGGAGGACTTTGTGAAGTGGAAAGACTGTCTCTTCTTCCGTTTTGTCAGTGTCTTGGTGGATCCCAGTCCAGATATTGCCAGGTAAAATGCTCATCCATAAGATAACGTAGGAGTTGAAGATCAGAGATGTAAAACCAGTCTGTCTTGTACCTTCAGCACCCACAGAAAAACTTCACTGAGAGAGCGGGTGATTGTGCCATTAACCTCTTCACTTCTACAGTTGTTCCTGCTTTACGGTCTGCAGTGGTAGCAAAGGATTGGGGAACCTCATTCAAATCCTTTGAAGGTCCCTAAGTAACAAGCTGTGTGTTCTTGGCTGTCTTCAAAACAGTGAGCTCTGCTCTGGTTTTGACTGTGTTACCAGAAAAAAAAAATTTTTTAAACAAGCCTCTTTGAAATTTTCCTCATGGTTTTGTAGTAAGCTTTGTCTTGAGCAGTGGTTTTGTCTTGGGAATAGGATTAAATATGCTCTTTTTTTCTGCTATGGCATGCCCTGGCCTTTTAAAGACATTTTGTGACACGTAGACCTGTAAGAGGCATTATGCACACTGGCTTGAAGTGCATGTTCATGAAGTAGTTGTAGATGTCAAAGCCTCAGGCTGCTCTGTTATGTGAGACATGAGGCAGCAGGTTCCTCTAAGGATGGTAGATCATATGGGGGTGCTGGACGTAGAGGAGGCTCAGACACCTTGCCACTTGTTTCTACCTGGAACAGTCCATCTGAAGATTGGTGTTTCCAAGGCCATCAACCTGTCCTTGCTTACTAGTGAATATTCACACTTTCTGTTCTCTTCAGTGAGTTTTTAATATCTAAAAATGTCTTTCCAGTAGATGGTGACATTGCAGCATCACGTTCCTAGAGCTTTAGCTAAGGAACATGATGCTGGTTTATTGGGAGCCTTTTTCTTTGCATCTGCATTCAGTGCCTGCATCTAGACAAAAACATGTTCTTCAAGTCTGGTTTTGACTCATGCCTCTTTCAGGACTTTTGGTGATTAATTTTTTGCAAAGTACTGAAAGTGTCTAAGCCACAAATGGAACTTAAGTTATTTAATTAATGAAAGCCTTGTGCCCAATTCAAGTTCAAATTTATTTCTGTCTCTGTGTAATGGCAAAAAAATGAAGTAGTATTGTGAATGCTGAAAATATCAATTGCTGGATGAAAAAAGGCTTAAAGTCAATAAGTTGATATCCTTGTTCAAGCTAGGATGGATCTGGGCAAGAATTAAGTGTGATATTGAGGGGGACTTGGCAGAGGAAAACCATCCCTCCCACTTTACGACTTGTGCCCATACGCTGTGTTACAGGGGGGCTTTTGGAAGCTGCAGGATGCTACTTTCTTCCTTTTCCTCCTTCCCAGGTTTGGAAAGTTCTGCTTGGTGCATCTCTTGCTGAAGAGGAACCCATTGATGTTCTCCCAACACTTCATTGAGTGCATCTTCCATTTCAATAGCTATGAGAAGCACGAGAAGTACAACAGGTTCCCGCAGAGCGTGCGGTCAGTGGCGCATCTGTCTCCTCGTTGCTAGATGATGGGTCTCTGACCCTGCAGCTTTGGGCTACAGCAGAGGGAAACAGCTAGGAGAAACAGTGTTAAGAGTGTCCTGTCTTCCCCATGACACTTCTGGGAAGACTTCTGCATGTAACTTATGGCAGTGCCCTAACAGGCTTGAAAGTGATGTTCAAATATTCCTTGCTGATTTAAAACGATGGGTCTCTGACCCTGTAGCTTTGGGCTACAGCAGAGGGAAACAGCTAGGAGAAACAGCTAGGAGAAACAGTGTTAAGAGTGTCCTGTCTTCCCCGTGACACTTCTGGGAAGGCTTCTGCATGTAATTTATGGCAGTGCCCTAACAGGCTTATGGGTCTTGAAAGTGATGTTCAAATATTCCTTGCTGATTTAAAACCTTATTATTTCTGTTTGTTCACATAATGTGACTTGGCCCTTGTGAATGTCTTGCTCTGCCACAGGGCAAAGAGCCTCTTCTCTCTGAAGGGAAAAGACAACAAAGAAAAAAGGATGCATATCTACAAGTTCCTGCTAGAGCACTTTACAGATGAGCAGAGGTTCAGCATTACAACAAAGATCACCCACAGCGTGCTAGGTAAGGTCTGTCTTTAAAAATCTGGGTGCTGTGGTTTGGGTTCAGGGCCACCCCCAGAACCCTAACAGACCCTGTCTGTTAACACCCCTTCCCCCACCCCAAAAGGGAAGGAGAAAGAAAATAAGGGAGAGCGACTTATTGATTAGAAAAGGAAAACAGTTTTAATACTACCACTAATAATAGTAATAATGATAATAAAATGGAATATGTACAAATATATACAAAATCAGTATCAAACCAAACTCCCCTCACCCCCCCCCAATGGCAATATGTCACTGTCACCCCCAGCTGGGGAGCACTGGGAAAAGAATAACTGGTGTCTGTATAAAACCATTAGGCTCTTGATCCAGCCATGTTATCTTGCTGCCTTTACTGGCACTGCTGTGCCCAGTGAAATAGATCTTATGTCATTATGTCTGTGTTCTAGCATGCTTCGTGGATATGGTCCTTCCACTGGACTTGGAAGCCAGTGAGCTGCTCTCAGATACATTTGCAGTCCTCAGCTGTAAAGAAATCAAGCTGTCAACTATGAGATCCAAACCCGATGAAGACATTCAGGCTGATGAAGGTGAAATGGCAATGGCCAATGCTGTCATGCAGGTGGCCCAGAAAAAGCTCATCTCGCAGGTGAGTGGCACTTGATCTGGTGTGGGCAGAGGGCTGGTCACCACAGTGGGAGGAATTTTACCTTTCTGTGGCAGAGAAACCTGTGCAGTAATGATTGAGTAACCCATGACGTGCTGTGCCTGCAGGCTGTTACTCAGGCTCTGTCTGGAGAGCCCCTCTGATCTGAGGGCACCTATGGCAGCACCGTGTGCTGCAAACACACAGCTTTGGGCTGGGTTTGTAGAGGGTGCTTGTACTGGAGGGGTCAGTTGGAGAGATGAGAACTGAATTTCCCCTGAAGTCAGCCAAGCTACGCTGGGCTCAATTTGTTCCACAGATCTCTTACTGGTAAAGCATTTGAGCCTAACAGTGTTTTCTGGTGCAGCTTTTGGCCATTTGCCTTCAGTGTGAGAACTGACTGAATTAGTGATGTGTCTTAAAAGACCCCACTTAGGTTAAAAGTCTGTGTGTGTGCTGGGGCTTAAGAGCAGACTTAATTGCAGTAATTCCCTGGCTGTGGAGTGATAACTGCTCTCACTTAGGCCGTTCATCTAACCACAGAGTGGCTTCTCCTTTATGGCATCGTTTAACTGTTCATGTCTTTTTCAAACAAAGGTTCAAAAGAAGAACTTTGTAGAAAATATCATCCCAGTAATCACATCACTGAAGTCTTTGATGGAGCAGAAGAGGTTCCCAGCTCTTAGGGACCTTATGAACTACCTACGGGTAAGGGGCAGTGTTTTGTTGTTGGTTTTTTTTTTAACTCTCTTGAGTTAATGTATTAGATGTGCAACCAGTAATGGAACAGCCTTCTTAGAAGGAAATTTAGAAGGCATATGATGTTGTGACACTGGCGCTGTGTTAAATAATGTAGGAGGTGAAGGGATTGTAGATAAGGATCTCACAGTGTGTTACGTGTGAGCCTCCTCGGTGGAACGTGGGCAGAAGGCTTGAATGCTGGAAAGCTTTTCCATGTTCTGAAGTACCAATTGGAATCCAAACTCTTCTTAGTCTGTTAAAAACACCTCTGCTTTACCAACTGGTATTTCCTTTTGCACTTAAGCAGCTGCGATCTGAAAGAAGACATGAATCAGTAGTCGGGAGAGATTTCTGAAAGAGTTTAAACATTCCTTATTGCTCCAGGAAATGATGCAAGATTACCGAAATGAAATCAAAGACTTCTTTGCTGTGGACAAGCAGCTGGCAGCCGAGCTGGAGTATGATATGAAGAAATATGAAGAGCAGCTGGCCATGGAGAAGGAGTCAGACCAGGAGCAGGTCTTGCCAGCGCTGGCAGAGGTGGTTGGTGCCATTAACTCTGTACATGTATCGTCTCCTGGGCTTAAGTTTGTCAGTGTGTAACACCAAGACTCAATATGTCTGCAGACCTTGTTACAGCACTTAACAGAACAGTTATGTAATGTTCTGATACCTCTTCACAGTTGCTGACAGAAGCTTTGGTTTCAGTCACTTAATATGCTTAGAATGACAACCAGCGACACACATTGGGAAAAGAGGAGAAGGAAACAATTAATTTAAAAAGATTTTGTTTTTTAAAGGGAAAACCATTTGCCATTGGCTGTGCTGACATTGTATTGCTCTCTGTTCCCACAGTGGTTAAAGATGATAAACAGGTCAAGAAGAAAAGGGTTCATTTTATCTGACTTGAGATGCATACAGAGTGGAAACTTGCATCTGTCCTAGTCATGCAGATCTGCTTTTAAAATCAATGTAAAGAAATAAGTATGTGCCTGGGGCAATTGTCCTGAACTATTTTAGATATCTAACTTAAGATGAGATGACTTCTACCCTGGCAGTACCTTTCTCTCTGCTGACTTGAAAAGAGCACCTATATATAGATCTCTAAACTAGGACATAAGTATCCTGTCAAAACTTCCTGTTCACCTTTTAAAGTTTTGGCCAATAAATCTTTCTCCCTCGCACCCCTTGGCATCCGTTGCACAAAAGGCAGTTCTTAGCATGCAGCACGGAGGGCTGAACATCTTGTATCTACACCTGTATTTGTTGTTAGACATATGATCTTTTCTCCTGTTTCCTGTAGCAACCTGCATCTTTGGAGAGAACTATACCTTCTGGTGGCTGGATTAATAATGCTCAGTCTCCTGTAAATGGGAGACAGTCCTCACCGCCTGCATCAAGCCCTCCCTCTGTGCCTTCTGAGTTCACTACACCTAGTGCTGATGTTCTGAAACAGCCATTACTCAGTCGCAGGTACAGGTTTCTGTTCATGATGTTCTACAGGGCTATTGCTCTGCTTATCCACTCCCTTCTTAGTGGTATGAAAGTCATCAGTGTTGCAGCATAATCTTCCCTGTGACATTTGATGTTGAAGATGAAAATGAATTGGGAGGGGACAGGTCTGTCCCCTCATGGCCTCTCATTGAGGCTTGCAGAAGGAAACTGCTGCTTCTGTCATGGTTTGTTTTGCCCTGTAGGTCAGCATCCCTGAACACGTTTGCCATCCTGAACTCTGCCAGGAAGGCAATGGAAGCCAGAAGTGAGCAATGCAGGAAGAGCATGGGAAGTTTAGCGGCCGTATCGCTTCCACCAAGCACCACTGGCAGCAAGCGAGGTAGGAAGCTTGCTGCAAGCTGAGCTGGCATTGGACTAGATCTAGTTGACACAGCCTGATTGTTAGACCCGTGAGGTCTCTGAGTGAATACATTTCAATTCTTAATTATTTCCTTGTTGTTTCTAGTATCCTTTCAAAGCCTGAATCAGCAGTCTACCGGAGCAAATGTTTCTGTGGTGGGCCGTGCAATCAGCACACCAGAACGTAAGTATAACCCAAACTGGGCTGAGGTAGCACTGCATGGCTCCCCTGAAGAGCAGAGAAAATGAGTCATTGAAGGCTATAGATTGTTTATTTATCTAAGTGGTTGTAGTAAATAAGAACCCTTCTGAAACTGAAGGTCTCAGGTGAATGATGTGCGTGGGAAAGGACAATTCAACACCATCTCCATTTATGTGTCACAGGGTATTATAGTATTGAGTCAGTGCAGGAGAGCACTTTGGGCTGCTGATGTAACAGAGCTGCTGCCTTTTTTTCCTTCACCAGCTCTGGGGTGATGAGGAGGCATGTTGTCATGGCTCTTTAATAGCACACATTGCCCAAAGTGTGCAAGATTTTATTGCATTGAGACACTTGCTCTACTTAAGTCTGGAAGTGTAGCCTGGCATTTTAAAACTGAATTACAGAAACATGCTGCAGAGGGAAACAGTCAAGTTCTGATCTTTTTCAGCTCTAGGATAGGGCATTTCTCCTCTCCAAATAGAGGATCTGAGGTGAGCTATGACCTGTGTCTAGAGCAGGCAGTGAGATGTGACAGTTGCAAGAGAACACGGAGATCTGCTCAAGCTGAATTAATAACCTGCACAGTCATTTCTGAGTGCATGTGTGTGTTCTACTCAAACACCTGAACTGAGTATTGGAGGGAAGGAATCATCTGTTTTTTTCACTCTAATGTGAAAATGAAAGTAAAAATACTCAGAGGGGCATCTAATACACAAATTGTGAGAGTCTGCTGTGCCTATGTCCACTGCAGCTGAGTGCACATAACCTCACAAAACCTGACCTTCAAAAGTTAGGTTTTACTGGAACACTTTCTGACAGCTCCACAGCACTGTGCAGCGTTGCTTTCTGCAGGCACGAGAGGCAGTTAAACACAGCAGAGCCAAGTTCCAGCTGTGGATTCCCTTCCTTTATGCCAGCTGGCTGATGAACTCCTTCAGGGCATCTCTGTTGTGGTGCGAGTTGTGCGAGGAACGCCCTCGGGCGCTCTGGGCAGAGCTGCAGTTCAGCTGTGGGGGTCTGGGTGGGTGTCAGCTGAGGTGTTGCAGTGTGGGCTGATGCTCCAGCAGTGGAGCCAACTGCCTCCCCTGAGCTTCTGTCCATGCACACACCCAGCCTGCACCTGCGTGGAAGGGCAGAGGTGAGGCCGTGGAGCCCATGAGGTGTTCTGCAAAGACCCGACACCCGCGAGCAGGCAGGAGCCAGCCAGCAGCAGTGTGTGCAGCCACTGGCATGGCTGACCCTCCTCTTCCTCCTGTGCTCCATGGTTTGGCTACATGTGTCTGCCTCAGTGTTCCTCTTCACTGCCTGAGCAACAGGCAGAGATCTCTGTGCGAAAAAACTGGGGGTATGTTTTTAGAGAGCAGAAGTCTTTAAGCACCACACCTCTGTCTGAAAGCTCGCACGGCTGTTCCTCTTAAGCACCATATGGTGCAGGAGGAGGAAGAACATGACTCTGCAGTGGTGCTAGGGCTGCATTCCCGCTTTTTTCAAGGCAGCAGGGAGACAAACTGTACAGAGCAGTATCATCACTCCAGTTAGCATTTGTTGAGCCATCTGCATGGTGGCGCTGGGTCTTGCAGGCTGACAGACAATCAAAACAAACCCCTTATATTTCTCTAGTGTATCATGCTGGAACTATTGGAGATGCAGTTCTTTGTAAACCAGTTTGTACTTGAGAAGTTAGGAACAGCTGTTTCTTCAAATTACTCGACTGTTCTGGCTTGTCAGTCTCTCCCCTGCTGTGCTTGTGTCTCCTCAACTCCTGCTCATTGCTCTGAGCATGGCTAAGGGGGTCTGGGCAAGTGTGGATCGCTTGGCTGCGGTGAGGCACACACTGCACAAAGTCAGGGTGCTCACACGTCAGCCCTGGGAGATGCAGAGCCCAACTAAGGCAGATAGATCAAGCCAGATCTTCACTACAAGCTACAGTGATTCCTTTCCAGGACAGAGAAGCAGTTGAAGAGCAAACCCAGTTAGTCTGTACAGAGCAGTCTGTTTAGCAGAGTTTCCAACTCCTGCCCTGTAAAACACTTTCTACCTTAATTCTTTGTGAAAGATTCTGGGAAACATGAGCATGAAACAGAATGTTGAGTAAGGTAAAATCTGAATATTGTGACATGTCTCCTGAGATAAATGACAGGGAAGAGACAGCTGACAACTACAGCCTATTCAGGCAAGCTAAATTCTGCCTAGCTTTGCTGCCTAGTGATTCCTCTTGTCTGGCTGCAGGCACTTCTCACAAAACGTCTGCTCAGGCCCTTTGTCAGCCTGCAGGGGCCCCGGATTTGGCCTTGACTAGGCAAAGCAACTGGTCTGAATTGAACATGTTGCTGGGAAATTCAGCAAAGCTTCCATGGAAGAGGTGGCTTTCCTGCCTGGGTGGGATAAGGAGGCGCATGGCTGAGGTCCTATATTAAAATGAACTTCCTTCACATACAAGGAGAGCTGTAAGTCTGGAGTAGGAACCTGATGTGTGCAGAGAGCCCATCAGATTCAGCCCAGGCTTTTGAGGCTGGATGGGAGACACTGCAGTCTAGTGGGCTGGAAAAATGAGATGTACACGTGCTTGCAATTAACTGCATATACATACTCTGTGACACTTGAGCATTCTACCACCACAGCATGCTTTGCCTTCTGGCTGTCTCACAAGCTGACTGCTAAAATGTGATTTTTTCTTCCAGAGACCATTAATGACTTGACTTTTGGTGCTGGGGTCAGTCACATCAGCTTGATGGACACGCCCGGTTCTGCTCCAGGCAAGTTAATCTTTGTGATTCTAGCTTCGGGGCCAGAAAAACCCCAAGTGGTCAAATCTGTGGCAGTTTCTAAACTCCAAAAATATATGCATTATTTACAGAGAATAAAGAGGCTGAGGACGAGCCAAGACGTATTATCTGTTTGACATCACCAGAGAAACTGTAAGTTCAACACAGGTCTGAAACAGCAGTCATGGGGAGGAGGACTGGTTGAAGTGCTCTAACACAAATGGTTGTTCTGCTTCCTCCTTCTAGCCCATCCCTGCTACGGGAGTGGAAAATAGAATCCCCAGCAAGGAAAAAAAGCAGCCAGCATGTCCCTCTGAGACGGTCCCAGCGGAGAACTCCACTGAAACCAGACAGCTGATCCTTCTATTGAACTTCTGTACAGAGTCATCATGTTGCCTGAAATCTGTCCTTTTCCCCTGAATTATAAATCCTTGTGGGCACACATCCTTCCTTATCTATCATTTGGGTTTTGCAGGAAACTGTCTAGGATACAGGCCTGTATTGACACGTGTATGTACTATGAGCTGCTGCTGTTGACGACGCTCCCAGGAGTGCTGGAAAGCTGTGGCATAAAGGGAGGCTTGCTCTTCACTCACAGGATGTGTAATTTGTCCATTTGGAGAAGTAAGAGCATAATGTTGCCACAAGCTTAGCAATAAATACAGTTTAGCTGGCAGGAAAGTGAGTGGCTTAGTTTATTCACTCCATCCCTCATTGTCCCTCTTGGTTATATACTAGAGTTGCTTTAATTTGAACAAAGGTGAAACAGCTTGTCACTGCCACACCCCTAAATCTGGTAATTGCACGCTACATCACCTCTTATTTGTTGTGCAAACTCCTGTGTGTATGAACAGCTTTAATGCTCTTTTATATGGAATATTTCCATTCTTGAACTATGTTATTTCCAACCATTAACATTTTATGAAAATAAATGGTTACAGAATTAATTCCACCCACAGCTTCTCCCCTCTTCTTGATCTGACAGAGAAATTATTTTTCTCTATAGATTTCTACAGCCTCTAAGTCTCTTCTACTACGTCGCTGGTATCTTAGGCATTCAGTTCAATTAATGTTGGACCCAGCAGCTTTTAAATATAGACTCTTGCCTGCAAGCAGGATATGAGTAACTCACTAGAATCAAGGTTGGTAAGTCATATGCATAGCTTTGAGCTCTGCGTGCATAACTTGTTTGTCACAAATGCACTGTGTAAATGGTGGAAACTGACCATTCCCCAGTCCCTGATGCCATGTGAACCTAACTGAAGCTCTTCTGTTCTTAACTTCTATTGCAGAGCTCTTGCCCTCGATTTCATTGCAACTTGAAAATGGAACCTCTTATTCATGCTGGTTTGTCTTGCTCGGGCATGAACAACAGAAGCAGAGCAGGCTTTTCTGCACAAGGGGCAACAAAGGGGCTGTGTGTGCTTTTGCTGCTGCCAGAGGCACTTAAACCTCCTGTCCTGGCATCTCATCGTTTGCCCTCACTTCCCCTCTTCTGTTTTGAAGATCAGTGAAACCTTCAAGCGAAATTTAGCTTTATTCTCAGAATCAAAGTCAAAACCTAGGAGCAGGGGCCATGTGGAATGGCTTTGGCTTAAAGTGATGGTCAGTTATGACCACATCCATTTTTGTACCTTCTTTCCTGCCTTAAAATATTGTTGAACTGCTTTGAACGGTACATTGGAATAGTTTTTCCTGATTTCTGCTTTTCTGGTTTTTATTCTGTCCTCAAGCAGCATTGAGATGAGCACTGCTCTAGAGAAGAACCAGGGATAGGCAAAATATCCAAGAGTAAACTGATCAACAGCAACACAGCTTGAACTTCCTGTATCTTTCAGCCCAATACTGTGTATAACTGAGTGCTCTGACAGAAGATACTTTCCCTTATTTCACTGAGTTGAAAACAGAGGCCTCCAACAATATGGCTGTTTCAAAAACAAAAGCAAACCTTAAAAAAAAAAACTACAAGAATGCATTATAGGTTGGTATTTATGTAAAACATTCTTGGCAAAGTTAAAAGTCATACATTAGTACAAACCTGAATATTATTCACAATGATACAATGAACTCCATCAATCAGATTTCTTGAGCTGTATCAGGGGGATCATCTCCCCCTCTCTCGATAGAGATGCCACTGTCACATTTTAGAACTGAAAAGTAAGTCTTGTTTCTTAAGCTTGCTGGCTCTTCACATGAAGGCTGCCTTTGGCTCATGGCGAGACTGTAGATTGTGCTCCCATAGTGCCCACAGCTACCCCGATTCAAACCTTTTCTTTCTCTCCCTCATTATAGGTGTCCTAAAAGCAGCATAGAAAAGGAGTAGTGGATATAGAGAAGGTGCAAAGGAATGTTACACTCACTACTGTCAATGATTAGAGGCAGCGGGCAGCCAGCGACCAGTGCTGTGTGGCTTGGTTGAAGAGCATGTCTTAAGGTAACTATCATGGAGGTGCAAGAGAGCAGTGGTCAGGTCCCAGTTACACAGAGAACGTATGGTTATCACTGCCCCATCCTTGTTTTTACTTTCGTTAGCAAAAGGAGAAGTGGTAACACTTTGCTTAGGCAAAACAAATGCAGCAATGGCATGTCCAGCGAGGCCCCTAGGAAACACAGCAGATTATAATGCAGAACACTACAAAATAACACTGACAGTCCAAATCGTCAAGTATCCAAAATACTGTATACAGGAAAAGTTAAGACAACTCAATTCATATTGGAAATACAAGAACACTAAATTATGCTACATTTTAAAAAATTCTTAAACCACAGCACAGTTCTAGTGTTGCATCCACATCTTGCAGTCTTAGATTACCCAGTGCTGTCCAACACTATCAACACGTATGTTCCTGGGAAACACGTGTGTCCAATTTTTCCTTTCTGAAGAGAACTAGTTATGTTTTCTTTTTTCTTTTTTTTTTTTTTTCTTTTACCATCTAGAGAAAAGTAGCAACTGATGCTACAAAGGTCCTTTTGTGTTGAGCTTTTGCTTTCCCAGCTCCAGAAGCAGTTGCCTCGGCTCTGCGGTTTAACCCTGTAAAGTTGCTGTAGCTGTCACGCTGTGTTAGTGCTTTAGGGAACTTGCAGAGGGGTAGCAAACGTTGAAGTCACTCTGTCACCGTGTTGGTACTGAACCCAAAAGCCATCCCTGGATATTTCTTGCAACAAAAAAAAAAAACCCAAAGTGTTGGTCACCGGCAAGAAAAGTAGGTTTTCTATATAAAAAAGTTGATAGATCCTGCCATAAATTTACAAAAACTATCCCTGAGTGACTCTGTTCCATGTCTGGTAAGACCTCTTGTGACAAGGAAATTGCTGAAGCTAGCTTAAGAGGGAAGAGATGCTGTTCCACCTGCAGTTTTCTATTATGCTCAGCAATACTACTGATATGCTCTGGCAGTGCCATACTCTAGCAACATTTGAGCTTCTCCCTGTAGCTTAAAAAGTAAAAAAATAGCTACGTTACTTAAACACTGCTGGCATTGCATATTTACACTTTAAATAGAAACATTACCTTTTCTGAAGTAATCAAAATATATCTTTGCAAAAAATTTAGAATGTGGGATTTTACAAAATAAACGGAGAAGGTAAAAAAGCCTGAAGATAGATCTCAGTACCTTTTATGGCAATCTCAGGCCATGAAAGTATTTGGCTTTAATTTTCCTGAAGGGGATGTCTTAGCAGTAGGTTCTCTGCCTCCTCTCTAAGCCTCTTTAACGCACGGAAAGACGCAAGAGGCGAGGCTGCTCTGTGCAGATTAGAGCGCGGGGTTACCTGCGTGCAGCGGGGTCTCTGGAAGCAGTGATCAGAAGCAATCCTTCTGGCCTGCTGCTGCCCATGTTCCACGTTAAATGGAGTATCAAGGATTCAGTGAGTTTACAAACAGGCTGAGGACATTAGTTGCATTTCCTCTCTCGGTATCTGTCACTGTAGGCTATCCCCATCCCCTGTTCTGCAGCTGAGCAGTCAGAGTCACAAGCAGGACAATCACAAATGCATAAAAGTCACCAGCCAGGCCTGGGCAACAAGCTGCTGAGAGGAAGACTTCCCCTTTGCATGGATAAATCTTATTCTTTGAAGTTCATCTATTGCTATATCAGCACCTTTTTTTGCCTACTAGTAATACATACTAGTCATGTCTACTACACGTTTCTACTAGGCTGTTCCCCTGGTTGGTTTGCACATTGTGGCTGTGTCCCTGCAGCACAAATAGAAGGCAATTCCACAAACTTCCACAGCCCAGTCTCTTGGGAAGTATTAAAACGCTTCCTTAGTCCAAGGACAGGTTTAGGTGATCCTCTTGGTATCTCCGGAGGCAGGGAAGACACAAGTTGGGCAGTGAGGAGTTACTTTAAACTTTGGCAAAGAAAAAAAAGATACACAGATAGATAGCTATCAAGTCCTTGTGTGTTCCAAACTCTTCCAAGCGCACTTAATTTCATCCTTTGCTCTCTCTTTGAGTTCCTGGAGGAGGTATTTTCACACTTGCTTTTGCTGGTTTGCAATATTCTTTTGGTGTCTTAGATGACAAATGAAGACTTGTGTCTGAAGTCACCCTGCAACAAAACAGTTCTGGATGTAGGAAGGATCTACAAGCTTCTGCACCCAACTGTGAAATGCTTGTGAAAAGTAATCTGTGTCACTACTAGCCTTCTGTCTAGGTAGCACCCTTTTTCAGCTGGTGAGGAGCAGGAGACACCAGTCGTCCTGGCCAGGAGATCCTCCTCCTACCATCCTCACATACCAAGGCATGGCAGGGGACTTTCCCATTCCCTCTTCACTATCTCTGCTAATAGGGAGAGGCTTTTTCTGATCTTAAGCTTAGTGATCTATTCAAATCCCAAAATGCAAATTCTCTTGTAAAAGCATCATGGCCTGCCCACTTAATCCAATGAAACTCATCCTAAGGGGGTCAAGCCATAAGATAACTGAGACAGAGCAGAGCTGCATTTGATAGCTCTTGGCTTCAGTCTCTTAAGGCAACTTAAACTCTTCATCACTTCTAAGGAAATGACTCAGCTTTCACCCTTCTGTTTTCTCTCTGTTCTGCATCCTTGCTTCTGAGCAGTGCCCACTCTAAGAAAGTCTGCAGACCCTAAAAAAGCTAGGAGTCCTCTGCCCACCCTCCTCCTCTCCTAAACAGTGAGATGTTAAATGCAAATCATTTGTTACCTCATCATCTGTCCGGATATAGTTAACGCCATCAGGTTTTGCTGGAGTCTTGTAGCTGAAATAAAAAAAAAGGTCTCATTTCTGGGACAAGAAGACTGCAGGATTTTGGAGAGGAGGTGCTGAGAAAGATGAAAATGAAGAACAGCCGAATGAAAACAGAGAAACCCAGCTCATTGCTCAAGTGATAAATCTGTGCCTATTCCTTCATTCTTTATGAATGGGGTTTTTTTTCTAAACTCCCCTTCAGCACAGGGAAAAAAATTGCTCTAAGTTTCCACAGGACTAACTCTGCAAAGAAATTAGCTGATCCTTTTCTGGGCTCTCCTGCCCTGGTCCCTGTGCACTTCCTGTCTGTGTGCCTCCTGCATGGTTTCCTGTGGCAATTATAAAGTTCATTTTAAACCTGCACTGCCAGCTGCCTTCAGCATTTTCCTTAGTTATAAGGAAGCGACACTTGTTTGCAGTCCCATAGGTATTCAGAATTTATAGATGACTGTCAAGCCTGGTGCATGCCAACCCTCAGCTGTATTTAAATAGGAGATTTGGAGCTTTTTCTGAAAACAAAACCAAACCAAAAAAGACAGGACTTCTACTGAAAAGCAACATTTAACCAGGAACAAATCTATCTGGTGAGAATCTTGGTTTAACATAAATTATTTCTTCTACAGATTCTGTAAACACATCAAGGCTTGTTTCTGATGCTAATGCTGTTGTTTTTAACATTTTAATGTGCATTCTGAAATGGTTGGTTTTAATCCCAAATTTAGCTTCTCACGACTAGTGAGATTTCCTGTAGAGCCTACTCCTCTGCACAGCTTTAATGTGCACGTCCTGATGCTTTAAACTAACTGTGGAGCGAGCTCTGTTCATTCAACTGCAGACCTCGTTATGCAAACAGTGCATAACTTATTGGACAAACATGTGTAGGCATTTAATTGTGCCATGCAAAGCATGAGGGTATTAGAGCACAGATTTCCCTCCTCTGTCTGCTCTTGGTACCAAGCACGAGAAGAGCCATACCAAAATTCTTCCTTAGGCAAATAACGCTTTGCACTGGATACTTCAAGAACTGGGCTGGCCTGTAGTCTGTGGTAGGGAACCAAGGAGGAATATGTTTCAGTCAGGCACTGAAAGACGTTAGCCACCAGTCACACCTCAGACTCCTTCACACTGGCTGTGGGCACAGGGCTGTGTGTAAGAACACTCTGAACCCCAGCTTACCTTTCCCCGCTCTCTTTGCCGTTTGCAAAGTAACCCTTTCTGTAGGCACAGCAGATACCAAGAGTGATGAGCACCAAAACGGCTACGACCACCAGGACTCCACCGATTATCCCACCAATATTGAGGTCATCTGGCAAAGAAAGAAGCCATCATCCAGTATTTCTTCAAGGCAGCAGCCATATTCTAGCTTTACATGCACCAAAACGTTGTATTTTGAATATTCTAACCAAGGCCAAATAATTCATAGGGAACTAGGGAGCCCCTGATTCCAAGAATAGAACTGTGCATGAATTGTAACAGTGTTTTGATGTTTCTCTGAATTTTTAGATTTTTTTTTGTCTTCCTGTGTTTGGGGCTATGAAGAAGTAGAACAGACTTAATGTTCGAGGATAGCCCCCCTTCTTTCTCTAAGCTGATGACAATTTCTTTATGGTGATATATTAATCAGTGTTGATGACAAGTATTTAGAGCCACTCACAGACTTCCATCTCCTGCTCCTCACACTTGGCAAAGCCAGCATCATTTGTCGCTATGCAGGAGTAACGGCCCGTGTCACCTTTGTGCACAGCGTGGAAAACCTGGTGAGGAGAAAAGAGGGGGAGCAGCACGTGAGAGACAGAAGGCACTGCAAGGGTATAAGCATCTACAAGCAATTCTCCCAGGCTTCACGATGGGCTGTGAGACATTTCTTCCCTCTTTCTGAAAGGTAAGTGGTACGGTCGGTGATCAAAACCAAACAGCTAAGATCTTCCATCATTCATCTTCCCTTTCCCCAGTCACACTGACTGCAGAACATTGAACCTTCTTCACATTATACCCTCCCTGACAGCCATGAAGTGGCTTGTTTCTTTTACAAGCAACCTTAAAGATAACGTGTCCTGTGAAGCTCGTGTTGATTGTGTCTGTAAGGGCATTACCAGAGTGCCTGTGGTGGGGTTCACGGTGTAGGAGGAATTGTGGTGCCTGGTGTTGGATTTGGTGTCTGGCGATAGTGGTTCGCTGTTGCGGTACCAGCTGTAAGTGGACTTTGGGTACCCCTCATTCTCATGGCAGTGGAGAGAGGCTGTCTTGCCAACTGGTACAGCTTTAGGCACAGTGCATCTCGGAGTCATCGGTTTCACTGTGGGGAAGACACAAACCACGTGAATGCACCGCTGAGTGGAAGTGAAAAATTTCTGACGTGCTTTCTTAGCAGCCCGTGCTACAAAGGCATCAAAACTTTCCACCGTTCCCAGCTGGTTTTAACCAACTTCCAGCGTGCCACTGCTTCGACTCTGCAGAGACCTACAGCCTCTTCTGGTAGCTAGCTACCTGGGTCTGAAGGAATACCTTGGACAGTGAGATGGATGTTTATCTCATCGATGGTTTTGGTATCAGAAGGTGCTGCCACCTCGCAGCGGTACGTGGCGGTGTCCATCCGGGTGGTGTTTTTAATCACCAGCGACGTCCGGCTCAGGATTTCTGCACGAGTCACAAAGTCTCCTGATGCAGAGGAGAGAGGGAGAAAAAAATGCAGGGTAATCAACACAGACTAATTTTAGAAGTCTGAATTAAGTGGTTGATCTTGGACTCTTTCTGGAGTCAAGAGAACCATCTAAAACGAACTTGATGCTGGAAAGTTAGTAATGTCAATAACGAGGGCAGAGAGCAGAGAACATCCTGCTCTTTATCCATCCAGCACTGTGACTGCTGAACTCTAGTTCCAGAAGAAAGCAGCAAGACAGCCAGAGGGCCTGCCTTTTACAGGCTGCTTTTTTCTCATTTGTGTTCTTTCTGAGGAGGTTTTGGAAGTCTATGAGCAACGAATCTTCATACCCTGCATTTTATTGTCAAAAAATACATAAGAGGTTTCGCCATCTCGGATCTTCTTCCACTCGATCCTGGGATCTGGTGTTATGGTGGACTTAATGATGCAGGACAGCTCGACACCTAGCAGGAGAAATAAAGAAAACAGAGATTAATAAGAAGCAGCTGTACTTTCCCTCTGCTTTAAGCAGTCTTGCTCGCTGTTTTATTAGGAGACACTGCCCACAAAGCGAAGGCTTCTCTTTCATCTGCCTCAATAACAGAAACACTGCTGGGTTCCAGGAGCTATGGGGGAAGATGGATTTTGGCCAGCAAAAATAATAGCCAAACAGATATCAACTATGGAGAGAAATGAACACACTGTTCTCTACAGGCTCTAACTTATGACAAACAAGACCTTATGACAGGGTGAGTCCACAGCACTATCTTGCTGCTAATCAGAGCCTACAATGTGAGTCAGGGATGCAGAATCTCCCTGGGTGGTGTCTGGTAATGTACCGAGGACCGTGATGCCTGGGGATCAATTCAGCAGACCAACTCCCCTTTGAAGCAGGCATGATCACCTCCACCTCCTCCACAGAAGAGGGCATCACAGCAAGGTTGAGAGGTGGCTTACTGGGTCCTGCTGCATGGCACGTCTGGAGCAGGGCCAAGACAAAACAGAAATCTCCAGACCCCCTTTTCAGTGTGTCAAACGCCAGGCGACTCCCTTTCCTCCTTTTGGGATCCAGTTCAAAAAAGCACTTAGGCAGACACTGCAATGCCAGTGGCTTGCAGGGGGACTTCCATAAACCATTTCAATCAAGTGCTTTGCTAAACAGGGAGAGATGCAGACACATTCGTAGGAGCTTTCCTGAACCTCAGGCTCTCAGTAGTCCTGCCTCCCCCAGGAAACCAGATGCCATGAGCCACAAGCACCATTTTTCCCATTGGTTTGGGTGGCTGCAGTCCCCAGTGCAGCCACCACGTCAGGCAGCCCCCACAGCACTCACTCTGGAATTCCTGCACCACGGGCTTGGTGTTGCTGGATGTCAGCTCCACAGCCAAGAGTCTGCAGCCTGGAAAAACAAACAGAAGGTAATAAGAAATAGCACAGCTCATAAGTCACCCAGCTAGAAACACGCTGCCTGCTGAGAAATCTTCTCAGCCAGCTACGAGTACTCACTTCCCTAGATAAAACCTATTCCCAGCTACTAATGCACCCAGTGCATCAGGCCTGAGTTTATTTAGGAGTTGTGGTGTAAATACAGGAAAATACAATGGTTAGAAGTAGCAATTAAAGAGGAGGATTAATGTAACGTTACAAAACCAGTGCCAGCACAAGCCACTTCCTTGTGCCTTATGCATATTTAGACAGTAAAGGAATTCTTGCTCTGACCACGCAAGAGTGATTGTATTATTTTGCAAATTACTTTGATGATCAGGAAGAGACAGGAAGCAGACCAACCTGAAGAGTTCTGGTCAGTTCCCAGATGAAATGTGCCAAGCCTCTAACATAGCTGATTACATCTTCAAGTATTTTAAGACTTGGTGTGGTAGTGTGAAATGCAAGGCAGTAAATCACGAACGGACTGAATCAAGAGAAAACAGCAGAGTTCAGCTCTTTGGGTAGAATCCCAGCCAGACCAACACTGGGACAAAAGCTCAGTCATGCAGTGCTGCAAGGCCTTCTGATAGGACAAGCTATGTCCCCTTCCTGTCTTGCTCTGAGCACCAAAATGTTTCCAATTAGTAGTAATTTTCTCTCTTTTGTGTATTACTTTATTTTGAGAAATCTGCCTTCCATGTCTTCTCTGCTGTGCCCTTCACTGGAGCAGGTACCAGCAACATTCACGTGCTACTGGATACCCACATTCCCAACAGCTCTGGAGGGAGAAGGAGACAAGCAGACAGTTTGGGGTCTGGCACAGGAGGAAGAAAGCAAACCAGGCAGCAGGCAAGCCATGCCTCCATCACAGATGACATTTTGGAACTGGGTCTTCTGGCTGTTGCAAACCCCATCACCTCTCAGTCAGACCACAGTGTTCACAAAACAGAGGCTGCTCCAAAGGCCTCTCTTCCAGGAGGAGGATACATCCTATAACTGGTGCCAAATAACCAGCTACCAGGCTATATCATGGCCCCACGTGGAACTCTGCTGTTACAACACATCCAATCAGAGGTCTGCTGGAATCCAAGGGAAGCTGCCCACTGACTTCACTGGGCATTTGGTCGAATGCAAGTTAAAGATCACGGAAACCAGCGCCTTGGTGACGTGAGGAGAGATGCATCTAAAGGTTGAGACTGTCTCACTCTGAGTAAAAAAGTCAACAAATGTGAACAGAAAGCAGAAAAGGCAGCTGAAGGGAGATGTGGAGAGAGAGAGGATCTCCAGCATCATGACAGATAGCTGGAAATTCCTCTGTACTGGCCTTCAGCACAGAAGGCTTTTGGACAGAGAAAATCTGACAATGCAGGAGCAAAATTCCTCTGGTGGAGAGGATCAGATGGTGTACAAGAGCAGGGCAACAGCCTGAGAAATGCCCAAGAGCTGTGAAGTCCCTCCCATGCACAGCTCCAGGGCCATGAACACCTAAAATTCTTGCAGCATTTTTGAAATGTCCCCTGCCAATTCTTATGCCTCATTGTTTGTTAAATGCTGACACTTTCCTCAGTGCCTTGGCTCTCCGTGCTTAGGCCCCAGGGACCACTGGGAAGACCTGGAGTTTGGAGAGATTTAGAAGCTGCCTTTGCATACAAAATAACTGTCCCATAAAAGCCACTGGCTGATGCAAGCTAGTAGCTGACCCAGCCACAACTGCTCTTAGCAGGACCTTTCCACCCTTCCCCTTCTGCACGGGAGACGTTCCTGCAGCATTTGGGAGAAATCCAGTATTTACCTAACATGACAGTGACCTGGGCTATAATGTAGTTATCTGGGAGAAGCCTTGTATATCAGAGGTGAAATAAGTTGCAGGGCAGTGCAGGGAGCACTTTGCTTTCAGTCTGCTTGTGCTTTATTTGGGAGAGCCAGGGGAATGCCATTGCTCAGCAAGTGCTCTGGTCTTGGTTTGTTTCACCTGAGAGGTGGTCTAAGCAACCTCAAGTAACTTGTTCAAGTCTGCTGTGAAGCAGAGTCCATCTTCATCAGAGCTGGTGCTTCCAAACCTACCCCTTGAAAAAAAGGTAATTATGCCACAGGACACTGACATTTTCCTTTCCCTCTGTCCATCCTCTGATCCTCTCAGCGATTCTGTCTGGGGCTGTGATCCTTGCTGTGCATAGAGAGATTTCATTGATCCCAGCAAAACCCCAGAGCACTACAAGTAGCTAGTCACCAGAAGACAAGAAACAGTCTTGGGGAAAATCCTTTTGAAATTTTTGGACACATTTTCAACAATAGCACAGGGTACATCACGCAGACAAGACATTTTGTCTTCTGCTCTAAGATTCCTGCTTCTGGAACCAAGAGAGCTTTTCTGGAGGGCCCAGGCCTGAGCACTCAGCTTAACTGTGGAACTCCTGATTGGCTTCTTGCCTAGGACAGGTGGCTCTGATAATGCATTTTCAAAAAGGGGAAGTTGTAGGCTCTGCCTTCTTCAGAGACAGCACTGTCCTTCATCAGGGAGCTGTGTTACAGATGGGAGCTTTCCTCTGAGACCTCAAGCAGCAGGTGACAAGAGTTGCACTGAACCTGGAGAGCCACAGAAGGCAGCTTGCACAGCATCTGTCTGGTCTGTACTGTCCTATAAATCCTTCTTTGGAAAAGCTAGAGAAAGATGGGGAGGGAAAGGGTTCCTTGTTCCTTAAAGGAAACTATGTGCCATGGGTTTTTTGGTGCATGCTTGCTTATACAAGATCTTTTTTCAGAAACTTGCATCCCATCAAGCAGATAGCATGCTAATGGTCCTACTGAAGTGCATCTGTGGTAGCTACAGTCTAAGTTCAGCTGGAGGAGGAGTTAGTAATACCACAAAGTTGTGTTACTCTGAAGGAGTTATGACTCCACAAGTATTTGCCCCAAGAGAGTGGGACTCTATCAAACTCCAGCCCCATCTCATTTCTTGGAAATGGTTCACAGCAGGCTTCTTCCCACCCACTAAACACCAGAGATTTTGGTTTATTCCTCAGGCACAAAACAGGATGTCAACAAATTTTAGACAGAAGCTGAGTGCTTGGAGACTGTGTGAGAGGTTCTGACATTATTTCATGTATTTACTGTGGGCAGCAATCAGTGTGGCTGCTTAAATCACTGCTAAGACAGATTTATTCTTTTGTTTGCAGCAGAATGCAGCAAGTGGCATGTTCTAAAGGCTATGCAGGGAGCAAACCAAACCCCTCAAGTGACACAGAGCAGGAGCAAAACATCTCTTGTTAGCTTTACTTTGGGGTACCCCTTGCTCAGCAGCCTCCCTGGGGCTGGGGGAAAATGCAGCAAGCCAGTGCTTCCCAGGTGTCAGCCCTCCCCTGCTCAAGGTATCCCTGCTATGTGCCACCTCCCTGCTGCTGGCAAGCTGTGTCTCTGCTGACCACACTCATGGGTTGCTTTGTTTTGCCTGTTAAATCATGGTTAGCAGCAACTGCCCCCTTTTAATAAGAGTATTCCACAGATGTTCCTTCAGGCCTTTTTCTCCCCAATGCAAAGACTCAGCCAAGGTTTTGTGTTATGGAAATCTCACTCCAAAGGCCCCAGCACCCAGGCTGTGGGGAGCAGCCAGGCACAGCCGTGCATTGCTCCCCAGAGCAGCATGCCTGCCACAACACATGCACCTACCAGATCTCTGTGTGCTCCATCTCCCAGTACCTACCAGATCTGTATGTGCTACAGGCTCAGCCAGACATATGGATGAATCCCAAATGCCACTGGCTCTCCAAAATAGCATTCAGGACAAGGCAGTGAAGTCTATAGCATATTCTTATGGCACCTCTTTTAGCTAAAGAGCTACAGCCCGTGCTTGTTACTGTGACTCATGTTATCTGAATCATTTTAAAATGCTACACTGAAACTGTAATTTCAGAAGAAAACTAGCAGCTTTATAGACAACTATACTGTGTTAAATCCCCTCTTTCTGTACCAGGTTTTAAGTTAAGCCTGACCTTCCATCTCTTTCTGTCCTAAGCTCTTCTCCATTTAAAATCTAGAGGCAGAAATTTGAAGAGGAGGTGAAGTTTTCCTGAAGTGTTATGGGCAAGGTAAAAAGGGCGACCAGGAAAGAGTTGAAGTAAGCTTCTGCCAACAGCCTGTGCTGCAGGATGGTTCAACGCTTCTCTGCCGACACTGCAGTTATCTGATAGGGTAATTTCAGTTAGTGCACTGTCAGGCACAAGCAGTACAAAAACATGCAGCTGTATTTAAACACCTGCCCACTAAAGCAACAAAAATATGCCTGGCTGGAGGTGTCCGTCATCGCTAAGCCGTTGCCTGATTTGCAATTCAAAGCCCCACGTTCTGAGCCATGTGGGAGCCTGTGATGAGCCACACGCCTTGCTGAGCACCTGCCTGTTCTGTGTGCAGCAGCAGCACCCACCGACAGGCACTGATGCACTGGGAGGTGTCAGAAACACACTGGGTGGACTCTCCACGTGCTGGCACGCGTGGACGTGGCCCCTAGAGCATCCCTCCTCACTACTGAGTGGCACAGAAAGAACCAGGGACAAGGACAGTGCAGCAGAGATGTCAGAGCAGCAGGCAGGAGATGAGTACTGCTGTTCAGGGCAGCCCAGCTGACGCCAGGACTGCCCCTGCCTTAGGAGTGTTGGGTGTATGCAGCAGGGAGGAAGCAAAGTGTTAGATGTGTGAGAAATCTCCAGGGGAAGAGCAGAGGAAGCCACACACTGCTGGGCTGGATAAGACAAGGAAGAGAGAGGCCAGGTTTCTGCCCTCAGCTTATTTGGAGGAAATCACTATAAGCCCTCACCTTCAGAAACATCTGAACATCTGTACCTTAAAATATCCATCCTTTTGTCTCTCTGTGGTTTTGGCTCTTCATCCTCCCTCTTCTCTATCCCCAGTGGGTCTCACTGGGATTCCACAATGCAACTGGTGCCACCTGTAGACCAGGTGGTGTAGGATAGGCAACACAGCATGGCATAGGAAGGAGACACCAAAAATGCCTAACCCA